GGGGACTGTGTGAAGAAATGGTTGTCATTCCTACACGGTTCATACTACATTTTTGAAAAAAGCCTTAAATGAAAGCTGAGAGTCTGCACTTTAAGCAGGTATTCATTGTTTCATTTAAAACCCATTGTGGTGGTGTACAGAGCCAAAATGACAACAACTGTATCATTGTCCAAATAATTATGGACCTGACTGTATATAAGAGATAGATAGATAGATAGATATACACATATATATAGAGAGAGAGAGCCTCTTTTCTTTGTCAAATGACACTTCAAGTTTCAGACTTTCAAGGTAGAAATGTAGGACTTTTACTCTGGAAATATCTCTAAATGCTTCAGTTTGTTTCTGTATGCTGTCAGACATGTCCACATCAAAAGTAATCTTTTAAATTTTTTAAAAAAATCAAAGAATAAAGACATTTACCTAACAAGTTAGTGGTTTTTACTTTTAATGTATAAGGGACACTGGTAATTGATTTTACACTTCTTCTGAATATAATCCAATTAATTGTATTTCCATAATGTTGCATGTATTTTATAACACCTTACTTTGAAAACAGAACATAGCCACACATCCTTCCACTAACTTTGCTAAGTCTATTGCTAACTCCCCCATCAGCTATATCTGGGTCATTTGAAGGCATTATTCAATGTAACACATTGCAAACAGATATGATAAGCATGAGTGACATGACAGCTGCCAGCAGCAGAATTGTAAAAGATTTTTAATGAAATTGAATGTGTTTATTAATTTTCTGGTTATGTATTTCAGAAGTTGCAACAGTAACTGTGAGCACATCGCTTGACTCTGCTCCACCGTCTCAGCTGTGGTGCTGAGAGTCTAGTAATGATGGGACCGCCCTCATTTCCCATCATGCCTGTCTATATATTTGTGCATCAGTTCAGAACATGCTGGCTTATGTTGGTAACTGTCATTTTTGTGCTGGTTTTTAGTTTCAATCTTAGTGAGGTGGCTGAAGTGTCAAAGAAAGGTCTGTAAGGATAGTATGGCAGAATATGGTTGGCTGATGAAATTGGTGGACAAGAATATCCTGGGTACGATCATCTCTTTCATACAGTCATCCAAAGGGCTGCATGAGAACCAGCCCACAGGCAGTACTTTTGACACCCCTGACCCACAGTTACATTAGGTTAAAGATGCAGTTATTCATATTTGTATCTTAACAAATAGGTCAAAGGACTGTGTGAAATGTAAAAGTAGTAGATGAACCCGTGAAATGTAAAAGTAGTAGATGAACCCACAGGCTTATCACCTAACTCAGTCTGCAGGGCACTTGGTTCACTGCCACTGCTCACCACAGGCAACTTTGACACACTCAGTGTAAACTACCTGCACAGCACCAAACATCAGACAGAGTTAGCGTCTAGCTGGTGAACGCAGTTTAGCAGCGAACACGTCAGATATTTCCATCAAGAGCTGGTGAAGCACCAAAAAGGAGCTAAAACAAGTGAATATTGGACTTGATGGTGTATACAAATAAGACACCAAATGAATGGCAATCATTTGCTTTCTGTATGGATGAGTAAATACACAAAAGAAAAGTAAAGAAACAAGAAAAGTGCACTCAGTAGAGAGCAGATTTCCGCAGGTGGCTGCCCAAGCTGATCACAGCCAGACATTTCATGAAATTCCAGCAGACACTGCAGCCCATCCCAGAAACTACTAAAAATACGCACCTCGCCTATTTGTGACTTCTGGGCAATGTGTTGCCAAGCAGATCACGTTCTCCTGCCAACAAGCACTGTATGTGAAATAAAGATATGATGTAATTATGAGGATGAATATATCTTATCAATTAAAACAGCCACAAATTTCAGATCCATGTCGTTCATAACTGAACTTTTTAACTACATTAACTTTTGTCTGTAGGCTACGACACAACAAAGTAGGAAATAACAATTAACAACCAAAACAGACAATCCAAAAAAAACAAGAAATCTCTTAACTACACAGCCTACTCACTTATGGTAGAAGTACACAGAAATAATGACCAAATTAACTAAACTGGGAAGGGAAAACGCACCCCTTCTGAAACGCTCCTAGTGTGGTATGACGCTGTGCAGCAACCAGAACAAAACCTGCTGGTAGCCATGGCAGCTAGAATATGGCCCAACTCCTCTTGGAATTGTCCCTCAAACCTCTTACAATCAAGATAGTGGCAAAGGTTTCAAAACTCCAGCTCAAAATAAGACCAGGCTTCTCTATGGATGTCAGTTTTTGAGCCACAACAAAGGCCAAAATGTGGCCTGCAACAGACGGTAAGGCTTCTTGTTTTAAGCAGAGATGATTTGTGGAATACTTGTGACCCCTAATGGCCAGTTAGGAGGAGTCAGCAGTTCATGATGGTATACAACAGTCAGTAAAACAGGCTTTTCAACAACTGTGAATCACCACAACCCAGGGAGGTTCTTGAGCACACAGTCATGCATGTGCAAACAAAATATTAGGCTGATTGGTCCAGTAGTATGCAAGATTAACTGCGTACACACACATACACAGATCCATGCACAACCAGACTCATGATCCCTTCCAGGCTAATGTCTGGCAAGGATAATACATCTGTAATGATTAAAAAGGACAAAAGGAATTACGGAAAACTTGCAAATAATAGATCTAAGTTATAAAAATGTTTCTTTAATTTTACATTTCCATTTGATTGAGTCTGCCTCCTCCTGTACACACCTATTCTGAAACCTATAAATACTGACCATACAAAATCTGGACAATAGGTTCATCTACCTTGAGTGAGAATTGGTCTCCAGACAGAAAATTATACTCAGGTAATATCAACAGGAAATCCTCACAGCAAAAGTAGTTCAATAAAAACATCCAGGACAGTTTGTGATGGAATTCATTTTGATCCAAGCACACACTATATGTCCGACATCCCATGTTCCAGTGTCCTTACAAAGTCCTTGATCTTGCTCGAACTGCCCAACTGCCCGACGAATACCATATTACATGGTACACATCACAACTGTGATGGTGTTAATCTGTGATTAGCCTTTGTTTTTTGTTTTACTCTTTTTTTTTTTGTCGGTGGTGCTGGTGGGCGGAGCTGGGTTTACTGGTGGAGCCCCCAGCTTCTTGGTTTTGGCTTTTTTCACTTTCTCTTTAATGGTTTCGATGTCCAGCTTGCCTTCTGTGGGAGCTGTGGAAAAAACAAGGTTAACAAGGGGAGGACAGAGGTTAGCTGGATTATTACAGAGCAAATTTTGTTTCTGTTTGTTCTCAGGTAAAGATTTGTTCCCCATTTATACCTTTGGTGGTTTTCTTCATTAAAGGCTTTTCTTTAGGAGGAATGAAAGCTTTGTTCCGCTCTTCCTGCTTCTTGGTCAGTGCTTCTGCTTGTTTCACCTGATAAAAAGGAACAACGACAGTCACAAAGTTGTCAGTTCTCAGAATATGATGCAACTCTTTCTTAACTATTTTAGGGTGAGTTTCTGCCGTATTTTAGAGACTCTGCATTCAATTAGACCATGTTTATCTAGCTGTTCAGTGAAACTGTAACTGAAGCCTTTTTTCCACTGCACAGAAACCTGCTAATACCTGTTAACATCTGGCTTTTTAATGTAATGGGAAAGGTTACAATCAGCATTCACACCATGGTTAAATGCCTCTGTAGTGATCACAGGTATTGATCGGCTCTGGCTCTGATCTGCAGTGATGGAAACACAACACCCATGTGATGTACTTATTTTAGCCCCTTAACATGGAGATGCAATGACGCACCACCACAAAATACTGTCCATCTCCATCCAAGCAGCACTTAAACATCCATCCAAATTAGTCTGCACCGAGTTTGACAGAGAGACTGAATAATTAAGAGATATATAAGAAGTAGTAACCTTTATCAAGTTTTTACTGGCCTCCATGCTGCTTTCTATGGTTTACTTACCTGTTTTCTGGCCTTGTCCGTGACATTGAATGTAACAAATCCAAAACACACACCCAAAGAAAGGCATATTTGTCTGCTGCAGAGTTGTGCACAAAGAAACCTGTGTACACGCGTTACATTTGGCTGAAAAGAATTATAAGCAATAGAAGGAATGCAGGCCAGGAAACAGCCGAATATCATTACAGTGATAACACTCATGTGAAGAGGCACTGCAGCCCAGCGGTAGATAAATCCACTCAGTGCTCACCTTGATCTCTTCCATCTTCTTCCTCTTTTTCACACTTTCACGCAGGAAGAATTCTCCTGTGGCCAGCTCCTTGTCAACCTGCAAAGATAATCCAGAGTTAAAATCAATGTTAAAATAGTCTTAATATGCAAATTAGTCTCTGTAACAGGGTCCGACAAAAAACATTCCATTGTGTTGTTAGTTAATATTACCATCAACCTTTTTTGTGAGAAAAACCTTTAAAATAGCTGCTTTCAGCTGAGGTTTTTATGATACAACACAACACTATATGAGCAAGTGTGTATACATGTGATAGGCTACTTGTTATCTTAAGCAAGGAAACTAATGTCACTTTGTTCTTCATAGACCAGATAGCGGCAGTTATTCAACTATGAATGTTAAAATAAAAGCAAACATCTGACCGTGCTCTCTGGCTGTGATGGAGGGAATGGTGTGTACTCCTTCTTCACGCTCTTCTTCTTAGGCTCCCTGCGCTTGGCCAGGTTCTTGTGGCGGAACTTGGGCAGGAAGCGCTCCCAGTTCTGCATCCGCAGCTCAGGGTCTTTGGACAGCTCCCGTTTGATCATCAGTGTCTAATGGTGTCAGAGAATTTGGAGGGGGTGGGTGGTTGGGGGGATAGTTGTGTTGGTGGGGTGGGAGTACATGTAACAAAAATACTACGTGATGTGAGGTGATGTTGTACTGTCACGCCATATGCCCTATCTGCACTAAAATGTAGTTTTATTATGACCATCTGAAATACAGTCTCCACTTCATTCATTCAGATGCGGTGTCATGACAATGCCCCATGTATTTCATTGCCTCATTTATCAGGACTGGTCAGTGTGTTGTCACAGCAGGAGCCCAATTTCTTCTATTTCTGCACTATTCATTTGCTGCAATAAGCTAAAGACAAAGCTACTGGTCATACTAACACTTTGCTTTCGCAATCGTGTCATAATAACGGCGGTTTCTTCTGAAGGCACTGGTAGGCCTTTAATGCGGAAGAAGCGCAGGAAATGGTGACAATAGAGACAGAGCGCAATGTAACTTTTTCTCTCTGGTAGACATAGGGTTCTAAAATAATGCTTTGACATGCTGAGATATGATGTTTTCATCTAGCTACAGGCATTTTGATAGTGTGTGAGCCCTCTGTATTGTCAGCTCTTTTTGGTATCTGAACAGTATCTGTTTTTAAGTGTAATTATCCTACATGACAAACTGTAGCTGGTACTGGTATTAAATAAGTCCAGGGATGCAAACAGGTGTATGGTCAAAAAAGAGAGAGCTTGTTGAAGCTAAATATTTAAATACACGTACACTAATTTGGAAGAATATGGTGTATTCCAAACAGAAAAAAATCCATTGAGCCATCATGACCATCTTGCTAGAGGTCCAAATCTTTATACATTTCTTCATGCTCCTTACACTGAACAAAGTGGGTAGACTGGCCTACTACAAATAACATGTCAGTTTCAAACTAAGAGCCATATGCATATCTTTGGTTAAGTGGTGGATAACAGTTTTTACATCTGGACTGTATGATTAAAAAAAAAAGAAGAAATTCTGAATATTAAAATACACTAACATAGGGTGACCATATTTTGGTTTCCAAAAAAGAGGACACTTGCCCCGGCCACGAGATAGCCTCAAAAGATGTCTTATAATTTTAATATATTTAAAGTTTATATGTATGGATAGAAAATTCAGGTATATTACAAAATAATATCTCTCAGAGACAGAAATTTAGATAGGCTTCTCAGAGGTTACTCAACTTGCTTTTATTATGCCTAAAATAATAATATTTTTACAAGTTTCAATTGTACAAAATTAAATATAAATGTAAAATCAATGTAAAATCTCTGGAATGAAATAACGATAGAAATAATGTCTCTTCTGTATTAGAAAAATCAACTTGTAAAATAATTGTTATCTTTTCAAATCTTACTGGACAAATAAATAAATAAATAATATGAAATTATGTTCTAAATAATACCTCTTCTGTATTAGAAAATCTAACTTTGAGCTCCCCGGCACCTTTATTAGACACAGAATCATATGTGCCAGTTTTGCACACGGTGCACTCAGCCTCCCATATATCCAGACCGGGTCGGGACGGTAAGTTGGTAAATTTTTTCTGCAGTTCATCTATGAAGCTGCACTTGCGCTTCGGCATCTTGGAAGCTAGAATAATGCTGCGCCACCGGTGTCTGCTGCTTCCTCGTTGTGAGTGTTGGAGATCCACCGATAAGGCAGCCTCTCGGGGATTGCGCGCGCTCACACACACACACACACACACACACACACACACACACACACACAAAAACACACGAAAACCGGATATTATCATCAATTTATAAACACCCCCCGGACAGGACGTGAAAAGTGGACATGTCCAGGCAAAAGAGGACGTTTGATCAGCCTACACTAACACTCAATTTCCCTCGTTCTGCAAATGAACAAAGTTGAATGTTTCAGCAAAACTACCAAAACAGAGTGCGGTTCAACCTACCTCTTTCCACAATTCCTTTTTTTTTTACCAGCTACAAGGTATTTGCTCACTCTGGATTTTATATAAAATGCGGAATGTTTATGGAATGTTTGCGTTGTTTGGCATGAAAATGATAACCTTAAAATAGCCAGAGGCCACTGTCTGCACAATGCCTCTGAATCGTCCCTCTCTTGAAGTTGAATCTTTTAATCCTCTCTCTTTCTAAAAAAATCTTTATTGTATTCTTTCCATATTTCGCCCACTTGTTAGCGAAATAGTTAAAGAACCTCCATTAATTGTGCAATTTAAATGTGAAAAGTCTCACTGACTGACTGTCACCTGTGTGTATGCGGAGAGGAGAGGAGTGGAGGGAGCAGAGCTGTGGAAACTAGGACCCTACAACACCAGATTGACAACACTTCCATTGACTCCTGTGGTAGACTGAAGTTAAGCCTCACGCGCCCTCTAGTGGGGCATGAGGGCATTACCTTTCCGACCAGAAAGCCCATTCACTTACAGTATGTCTGACACGCACTTGCTTGTAAGTTGATGAAAACGGCCTTGTTTTTACTTTTAGGTGTCTTGGTCATATTAAGTCATGCTTATAATTTGTTTATTTCAAAATGTAGAGAGTAACATTATGGTAGACAACTGTTTTTTTTGTTTGTTTTTTTTTACCTGTCAATGGGTCACCGATGCTCCTATTACGGTAGATTATGGGAGATTATGCTTTTAGGTTTGCTTGACTTTGGAAACGCACAAGAATTCCTGGTCGGCAGCAATGCAGCAATACTGAAGTTAAGTCAGTTCTTGGTCAGATATGTAACACGCTATCCCGCCACTTGAGGGCAAGTGGCCAACTTTCTGCTTGACCAATGTGTGTCGCTACTCTGGTATTGTAGGGTCCTAGTGGAAACATCCTGCAGTCCGACATACAATCATGCGTTTAAATAACTTATTAGACGGATATATATATATAGAGAAGTGCCACGTTTAGAGAGCAAGCCCAAATAAGCAACTCCACTTTAGAAACAAGCCCAAAAAACGCAACCCGCGACTACCAATATTTGTAAGTGACTCTACAAAAAAACAAGCCCAAAGTCGCGGGTAATAAGCAGACCTGACAACCCTGCCATACACGGACCGCTCTATGATCTTTGATCCAGCAGCACATCATCCAACAAAGTGGACGCCAAACAAGTGGTTCATGCTTGCGTGCGCACTACACAGTGTTTTTTGCGAGCAGCATTGTCATCTGCTCATTGCGTTTGTTAGTGGAATTATTAACCAGACTTTTCCACGCCAAAAGAACTCCTCGGATCTACACGATTCCCACAAGTCACCCAAATTGACATGAAAAAAGCGAGTGTCACCGAAAAGCGAGCTGTTTGCATCCCTGTAAGACAGACACTATGGCTGCTCTGCAGTCTTCTTTGATCAAGTCAAGTTATAAAACAAAGATAAGAGCACCTGTGGCTCCCTCATGCCCTCAGCTCCAGGTTGAGCCAGCCTTGGCGTACAAACCCAGAGAGATTTATCTCAGTCAGGAGATCAAGAACAAGGATGGAGACATCTTCATAGGGCATGACTGCAGTCTGTTCGAATGTTTCAGTCTATGTAGTAGTATTGTTTTTAAGCTGTGGGCTGGTGGAATGCTGCCTAACCAGCAAGGTGTCTGTCAGAAGGTTAAACGTACCTTGATGTTGTAGATGGGGTGAATGTTCTTCATCGTGTCCATCACCACTTTGCGTACCTGAACAGAGAACACAAACATGAACAATTTCATGGTTCTACATCCTCTGTCATTTGTGTAAACATTTTATTTCAATTTCATAATTACAGACAAAAATAGTAAAATGACATTAAAATAGACTGAGAATGTACTTGTGAAATAATTTAAGAACAACTCAATATTATGAAATATTATTTCACAGGGGTGTGGGGGGAATACAATTTGTATTATAAATACAAATTAAACTTTAGATAGCCTAATATAATAGTATAATCAATTGTGTTTTCAGTCCACTTGATACAGCTGCAAAAAAATGGCTTAAGTGAATATATAGCTATATATTTTATCGCAATACTCAGTATATCACAACATATTTTAAATCTCAATAATATTGTATTGTGACTAAAGTGTCGTGATAATACTGTATTTTTGATCCTCTGGTGATTCCCACCTCTATCATTTCATCATTTATTTCCATAATAACTCAAAGGAACCAAAGATCTCAAATTTGGACTCATCAGACCAAAGCACAGATTTCCACTGGTCTAATGTCCATTCCTTGTGTTTCTTGGCCCAAACAAATCTCTTCTGCTTGTTGCCTCTCCTTAGCAGTGGTTTCCTAGCAGCTATTTGACCATGAAGGCCTGATTGGCGCAGTCTCCTCTTAACAGTTGTTCTAGAGATGGGTCTGCTGCTAGAACTCTATGTGGCATTCATCTGGTCTCTCTCTGAGCTGCTGTTAACTTGCCATTTCTGAGGCTGGTGACTCGGATGAACTTATCCTCAGAAGCAGAGGTGACTCTTGGTCTTCCTTTCCTGGGTCGGTCCTCATGTGTGCCAGTTTCATTGTAGCGCTTGATGGTTTTTGCGACTCCACTTGGGGACACATTTAAAGTTTTTGCAATTTTCCGGACTGACTGACCTTCATTTCTTAAAGTAATGATGGCCACTCGTTTTTCTTTAGTTAGCTGATTGGTTCTTGCCATAATATGAATTTTAACAGTTGTCCAATAGGGCTGTCGGCTGTGTATTAACCTGACTTCTGCACAACACAACTGATGGTCCCAACCCCATTGATAAAGCAAGAAATTCCACTAATTAACCCTGATAAGGCACACCTGTGAAGTGGAAACCATTTCAGGTGACTACCTCTTGAAGCTCATGGAGAGAATGCCAAGAGTGTGCAAAGCAGTAATCAGAGCAAAGGGTGGATATTTTGAAGAAACTAGAATATAAAACATGTTTTCAGTTATTTCACCTTTTTTTGTTAAGTACATAACTCCACATGTGTTCATTCATAGTTTTGATGCCTTCAGTGAGAATCTACAATGTAAATAGTCATGAAAATAAAGAAAACGCATTGAATGAGAAGGTGTGTCCAAACTTTTGGCCTGTACTGTATATGAATATATTTCTCACTTTTTTCCTGATGGTCTGAATAGCTGCTAAATTTGTCACTAGTTGCTTTTGGAGTAAAGTTGCTAAGTGGTACTGAAAAGTCTCTAAATCTAGCGTGAAAATTGCCAAGTTGGCACCACTGGTTGATGAGCTTGCCGGTTTAAGAGGCATGGGGCATATGGTTGGCTCAAAGGTGAGAGGACAGTGACAACACCACTATAATAAAATGCGATGAAAATGCCATTGTGAAATAAAAAGTATGTAAAGGGGGATTATTTATTTCATAATAAGTTATTTGTCTTTTTAATCTTGACCACTTTTGGGATCTACTCTTAAGTCTGTCTTTCTGCAACTATTTACTGCTGCAGCCACCCAGATTTCAAAACAGGGATAATTATGGTTTCATCTCACCTCTAGATGAGCTCATCAGAGCCTAGTTAACCCTGAGGGGAGTTTGTGTTGCACAGGCAACAGAGAAAACACCCAGGCACAGAACAGTGGACTCACATTTCAGATGTTTTCTTTGTTGTTGGGATTTTATGGATGGTTAGCACACATATACTGTTACTGAGCGTAGACACATTTTCATGGGTATTATTCATCTTACAATGAGTAAAGGTTTGTTTTCAATTAGCTTTTTGGTCAGACAGTGAACTGTGTTTCCACTGGTAGTTTCTGCCTCATCATCACCTCCTGAAGTTTAGTTTCTACACTTTATTTTTACCAGTAGACTCCTGTGAACAGACAGAGGCTCTGTGAAGTTCTTACCTCCTTCAGGCCATTATAGGGCCCCAGGGCCGACACCGTGTTACCCTGCACCATCACATAGCAGTTGGTCAGCAACTCTAATGCCTGGAGAAAAGGGACAGGAAAGCAAAGTGAAGAATTCAACACATGATTTAAAAAGAAATGATCTGATAACAGCACTGCTGTATTGTTCCCATGATACAAACACTCAGATAATGTGGCTGATTTGAAGCAACACTGCCACCCAGTGACATTTATCCTAAAATGCACCACAGCTACCAAAGACAGACTGCTTACTGATTACCTTGTTCACACTGTAGCACAGTTCAGACTTTTCCCTCTTTATACAACCTATGATTGAGTATTGGAGTATTAGTTTCAGAAAGAAAGCACAAAATATTCTGAATTTATTCTCAAAATCTTTTTCCCCACAGTGGCTCTACTACCTCATTGTAACTATTCTCTACAGTCAACCTGTGCAACCTTTACCTTCAGGAGAATGTATCAGGTGTCTAGGTCATATCATGAGATCTATTTTGTATGTCTGTCAGAAGTAAGTCACTATAAAGGTTATTTTTGCATCACTACCTTCTGGCCTGCCATTTCCAGCAGCAATTCCAATCTGTATATTAGCGGCCTTTTCCTGGTCATCCCTGAAGACAGGGTTAGATGGTTGAGCTGATTAAGCTGTTGTTTTTTTTACTGAGAAAAACAATTTGAAAGACCTCAAAACAAACTAGTATTAACAGTGTTCACTTATTCCAAGTCTGTTATAGACTCCTTAGATGCTTGCGATAGAGCTATATTCCAAAGGTGTGTGACAAGCATTCGACTGTGTTTTCACTGCTCATTTGGGAGCCTAGTCAGCCTTGAAAGGCCTGAGGTGAAACTTTTGACAAATCACCAACATTAAAAAGGCAGTAGTCTTGAGATAAGCACTGCTTCCCAGCAGCTATGAGTTTGTGTTGGGACCTCGCCATGCTGATGCACAAAAGAGAGGCCTGGTAGAGCAGTGGAGTAAAAGGTACAATAATTGCCTTTGAAATGTAATTGAGTATAAATTAGCATAAACTGAAAATACTCAAGTACAACCAGCTCCGAGGGTGTAACAACCCATTAGTCATGATCTATAGATTAATTCAATCATCAGCGATCCACTACCATCGATGCAAACTGAAAACATTGATCCATATCATCAGTTTTATCTTGAAATTCTATGTCACGGTCAAACAGCTCCAGGCAGATAATGGCAAGGAGCCAAGAGAAGATGAGGATAAGATTGACTCAGGAATAAATCAGCAGTGTGGAAATAATTGGATTTCAGAGAAAAGACTGGTCAACAGACAAAGCACATGTTGTATGTAAGCAAGGCCACATACTCAGGAAACACGACGCACCTGCTTGGCTGGGCGTCTTGCCCGCTAACGTGTTGCAGCAACACGGCTACATTAGCTGCTTTGTTTCAACCATGTTAGGATGAAAAACCATGCATGTGGGCTGAAATTCAGCCATGCAGTTCTGTCAGGAGGTGCACCGAGTTCGACTAACAGTGAGTAAAAAATAACGCATGTAATTTGTAAAGCTATGAGTAGAGAACATGTTTACTAGCTGCTAGGCTAATTTATGCAATGTTAAAGTGCCTAAGCTTATATTAGGTGACTTATATTAAGTCTCTATGAACCTTGACAGTTATTATTGAGCTGACTTAAATACTTTTTTTTAACGGTCCTGTTGTTAATCTATGGTTTATGGCTGTTGGGAAAAGTTTGCCTTCAGGGCTTTAAGCCAGACAGACCTGTTTTAGGAAAAAAAATCATGGTTTGAATTAAAACGAGAAGATTTCTTCCAGAAAGGTCATTCTGACAGAAAGCCCTGAAGGCCAACTTTTCCCATAGGCTGTTTAATGTGTGTTAGTGAAGTCAATGTAAAGTGAACTTTACTGCGCTGAACCAGTTAAATTATTAATTAGGGATGGGTCACGATTTTCGATTTTCGAATAATCGTTTTATTTTTGAAAAATCGATTTTTTAATGCAACTATTACTATTCGCCGTCTTATTTTCCCCCCTTTATTTGACATGCAATTCAGCTCCTAACCGCACGAGGGCAGTCTGGGATTGCTACAGCGGTGTGAGATGCTCTTCTACAAACAGGAGAAACATGCAGAGACTACTACTCTGTGAGGTATGTCCGCAGTCATTCAGGCTTTCATAGTCGAGCGCACTTCCGCGTTGTAGTTAAATGTCCGTGAAAAATCCCCACGATGTGAAAAATACATGCCGAGCAGTCACTGGTGTGCGCGCACAGGGCTTGCGGACGTCCGCTTTGAGTCCGCGTGGACCTCCGTGGAGTCCGTTCCGCCCGAGTATGTTCGGCCCTTTAAAGATGAATGGATCTCTGTGTGCGTAGCTCGGGGGGGGGGGTCATTCGAAAAATTGTCGAATACTTGCCACGATTTTCGAACAGTGTTTTTGCTTGTGTTGCCCATCCCTATTATTAATGTACTGTTTTGTCCTTTATGGCCAAAAGCAAAGAAGAAAGCTGTGGCAGCTTCTAATATAACACATTGTGCTAAATGGGCATATGATAAAATCTTCTATGGATCATAGGCCCCTGAATCGAATCAAATCGAAATCGTATCGTGACAGACTTTGTGATATCGACAAATATTGAATCGTCCAAAGAATCAATATATCAAATCATGATTAAACTAGTAGTTTACACCCTGAACTACCTCAAGCATTCACCTAAGTTAGTAGGCATGTACTTAAATAAATGTCAGGGCTCTAGACTGCAATCTTTTCAGTGTGCCAGTTAAAACTAGAGGTGGTCGCATTCATCCAAGTGCATGATGCAGACTTGAGTGACAGTGACAAACAGAGGGACAGCTGACTCTTATAAATGGGCCATATGCGGGTTAAATGTGCATTAGCAGGTCCACGCTATCTAGCCTACATCTGGTGTATGAAATGTCTGTAGCATCACTGTGCTGCATTTTTATAAATGATGATTTATAAATGATCATCTGGTCATCATCTCAACTTCAGCAAAGAGTATTGTGATGTTTATTGTAACTTCAGTGATATCAGCTACCTTACGTCTAACACACAGCTCCACTCATTCAAGTCACTTTGCCCGTCTGTGGCAGGGCAGCCCTCAGTGTTGGTAGGCTATCAAGGTTGGGTGAGCTACAGAGTGTGGACTGCAGTGATGCTGATGACACGTAAGAAGGTGGGGCTCGTTAAGCTCATTTGCTTTGCTTTGAGTGCTTTTCTTTTCGCCCCTTTTCTAACCCATACCCACACACCTTAACATACTTTCACACACACCTTTAATGAACAGATAGCGTGGTACTATAACGAATAAAATACAAAGGATTTGAACGCAATGCACCACACGTTCGCCGCAGCACACTGTCAGCAGAGCACGTCAATTATGATCAACTGAAGCTGCGACACTGTCAACAGAAGACGCATGCACCCACGCGATATGTTGCTGCTCATTTCTATCTTTAAGCAGCTGGACTTGTTTTTACTTGGTGCGAACTCCCCAGCCCACACTGCTATTAATAGTTAACTTTGATATTTGCTTATGATGATGATGAACAGTGGGATAAAAGCTGAATCTAAATGTGGGACTCACTTTTAGGGTGGAGCCCTTGGGGCCAATTAGACGCTGTCTTCGTTTTACAAACCGCTCTCTGTTCCTCACCAGGGTTCCGATTTTGATGATGTCACATGCCATGTCATCCTGTAATATCCGTACAGCCTGGAAGCAAAAAACAGTATGTGCAAAGAAACAAAATAACCTAATAATTAGAATTCAGCATCACTCATGTGTTTGCTACTGCTGTCATCAAGTATCACAAGTTTCTAAATCAATCAATCAATCAAACTTTATTTATATAGCGCCTTTCATACATCAAAAATGCAACCCCAAAGTGCTTCTAAAAGCAAAGGGAGCAACCTTCAGGAAACAAAATCTACATATAGCTTGAGGTGTAACTATACACAGTACGAGGCTCTGGTACAGGCTCTCGATATGTTGAACTATCCCAGTACATCTGGAAAATAAAATATACAGCTAAAACCGTACTAAATACAATGTTCTCAGTATCACAAGGCAGCCCATACAACGTAACAGGCAACATGCTGTCTGCCCCTCCCACCTCCAAACCAAAACATTCTACTCCAGTGAGATATGCTGGGAGGCAGCTACACTAAGCTAGTTTGTAGCAAAATGGTTAGTAACACCATTATCAGACCAGAAATAGAATAAAAGATTACCTACACCTCTGGTGTTAGTAGCCACTTTGGTTTTGCTGTGAATTACAAGGAAGATGGCAGTACACACCGAATCAAAGAATGAGCCGCCCCACAGCTGCGGACTCTACTTAGCAGCTAACACAGTAGCACAGTAACATACATGAACCCTGAGCTGAAAAATGCGCCTCTGCGCAGTTTTTTTTTTTATTTAACCTTTATTTAACCAGGAAGGGTCTCACTGAGTTACAGTAACTCTTCTTCCAGGGAGTCCTGGACAAGACTGGCAGCAAAAGTTACAAGTACACAAAAGACAAGACAATGGACACATACTAAAACCACGAGAACACAAGTCTCACATACTAGAACACAAAGTCAATGAGAACACATTACACTCAGTAAGACACATAAAAAGGCAAAACAGACATACTACTGAAAGGCACCAAGTTAGAAGCAGTGACACTGTTCAGTAAAGGTTGATTTTAAAAGGTTTTTAAATATGCTGAAAGGTGGAAGTGACTCCAGATTTAAGGTGTTTTGGAGTTCATTCCAGGCGTATGGTGCATATGAAGAGAAAGCTGTTTTACCAGCCACTCAGTTATAGCTCCGTCATTGTTCAAAATCAAAAAACATCATACTTTGTTAATTTTCAATAAATAAATTAATTAAAATAACATAAAAATTTCACTGCCATTTCTACTTATATATGGTAATGAAAACTTACTGAACCGTGACACAGCTGTATCTAACTGAACTGTGCAATTTGTGAACAGTTACACCCCTCCATATAGCATATGCTGCAAAATGAAGACAGACAGTAATCAACAGACTACAACCTTCATGACAGCAGTGTCCTGTGGTCATTACCTGTTCGAATGGGACACTCCGGGCCAGCAGCTTGATGAGATCTCTGGCTCTCACTATGGCGTAAGGGTCATAAGTTTTCTTAGTGGTAGAAACTGTGATGCTTCCCTCTATCAAGTCCAGAGTGGCTTTGACATGCTGAGAAGAACAAATATCCATGTTACAAAAGATGGGAACAACACCAGGTACTTAATTAAAAAAACTTTACTGTACAGTTTGGGGCTTCAATTCAGCCTGACCACTCCTACAGGAGGTGAAGTAGAAGCACACTGGGGGTCAAGTAGGGGCTTTAAAATACATATTACTTTTAATATGTTATTTTTGAATTATCTTTTAATAATACGTATCCTAAAATGATACTTTGATAGCAATGATTAGCGTCCTTCATCTCACATGTACAGTAGTGTAAAACAAGACATTTTATGACCCGACCGCCATGTTGGAAACAGTTGACCTAAGTACCAAATATCGCCCACCAGCTGGACCAACTTTCTCATTTTACAGCTAAACAGTACATTAATACACACTTCTGAAAACATTTGAAGCAAGAAATAGGCAATGCAGTAACAGAAGCCCCTTTTACACTGCCTGCTCAAGGCAGGAATACTACACCATTATGCCACCTCGCTGTTTTACATAATGAGGTGCAATTATGGAATGGGGGACAAAGTTGTCTCGCCTAAAAGTCGCCACTGGAGGTAGTGTCTGTATGAACTGGACAGCTGGAAGGACGGGATCATGGGCAGCACGACGTGCAACATTTTCACGAGATTTTATGTGTGCAACCCACCACAGGAGAATTAAAAGGTAGCTGCTAGCAGTTAGCAACTTACTCACAGAAGGAAAATAGCTGCTGTAAATGTCCGCAAAGTGGGAAAACAATGACATTCGGGAGCTCCCTACCCTCTGAGCAGAGAACGAGACCAGCCACCATGTAACAGAGATGGTAAATGATTGTTATTGACATGTTATGCCATTGTTCTTGATTCATATTTGATCAGCACTGTCTTGTTTGACAGTTCAAGAGCAGTGATTGACATAATTGACAGCTGCATTAAACTCCTCGGTTCTCATTGGCCGTTTTCATTCACATGTAGGAAGGCCATTAGAAAGGCTACAAGGCAATAGAATAGGCAGAGGATGGTTGTTTTTATGCAGATTATCTGTCTATTTAATACAACAACCAAATCAGAGCTGAGGAGTCTCTTACCCAGCTATCAGTCATGTCATAGACTGCTCTTGAACTGTCAAACTTGGCAGTGCTGTTGAAATACAGATCAAGATTCTGTTACTGCATTGCCTACCTCAAATGTTTTCACAAACATATTTTAGTGTACTGTTTAGCTGTAAAACAATAGAGTTTGTGACCCAATCACCATGTTGGATACAGTTAAATGGGAGCAGCAAGCACAGCCCTTCAGCTGGACCAAATTTTTCATTTCACAACTTGACAGTGCACTAAAATATGTTAATGAAAACATGTGAGGAGAGAAAAAGTCAATGCAGTAACACAGTCTTGACTCTTATTTGTTCGGCGCTGATTAGTTTAACTGTTTGCCCACACAGTTCATGGAGTGACTGACAGGATTTACAGCTGGGTTAGACACTTTTTTTCAGTCTATCTCATGTACTTTTCTTCAGCATAAAGTTAGTCAAAGTTATTTTCATTAAAGTTAACAACTGTATCTTTAAGTGACCAATGAATTTAAATTCCTTACGCATGCCAACATATTTTGTCCAATAAACCTGATTCTGACTCAGGAATGGTGTGGTCTGTTTTCAGCACTATTTGTGAACTTACTGCTTCTCCTAAAGCCTTCTCCACAAGCGGCCAACACTCTTTCAGGTAGGCTTCTCTGTATTTTGGGAAGAGGGTGGCGAAGCTGCTCTCCTCCAGCAGACCACGGGGGTTGTCTTCTTTGGTGAAAGCTGGCTCTTTCCATCCATCAGGAACAGTCAGGAGTTCAGATTCATCCACTGACGGAGACATCAGAAGCAAGGAGAGTTTGACATTTTCTCCCCATACAACTCAATTACTATCTCCTGAGTAACAATGTCAGGGACATTGACAATGTGGAAATGGTTTTCCCACATGTCCAATACACCAATGTACAAATCCAGCACCGTGTTATGGTGTGCTTTAGGATACTGGTTTTTGATTATAAGTTTCAGTTACTCCAGAGCCTACAGTTGTGTACAATGCACTACAGCTTTTTGTCAAATATGTACAGGGGAAGATTGGAGGTTGAAGAGTGTCAGGCAGCAGCGGTGAATAGTAGCTAAAAGTAGGGATCCTCTTTTCAAGCGGCATGTTTCATAAAACAACACCAAACTTTATTATTTCCACACCGACTTTGCAGGAAGAAGGGGAACATGGGTGAGTGACAATAAGCAACAACCTGTGTGTTTGCGATATCTCAAGACAGCAAGAGTATTTGACAGTCACCTAGTACATCTGTGCTGCTGAGTTATGGTAACTAGTTTACAGCGGGCATTTGGGGGATGCTGTACAGTCCTTGAAACGCTTACAGAAGAAAATAATCAAACAAATAACAAAATTTAGACTGTTAACTTCCTGTTTTTTTCTTGTTGTTAAATCAAGACGACACCAACAGAGGGAACTCTTTTTCCAGTTAACGTCGGCTCACTAGCTAGCTTAAAGGTAACGTTAACGTTAATGTAAACGTGCCCTGCAACTGACACGTAAACACGCCACTTAACCGACAAAATTCAGCTCTGCCTCTCAGTAAATGCACCGCTGGGTGTCACTTAATCGTGTTTAAATCGGCAGCAGCTATAACGTACCTTGGTTTTTCGTCTTTTTCGACTTTTTTCCTGTTTGTGCTTCACTCACGCTGTCTTCCGTCGTGGAGGTCGCCATTGTTTTTCTCCTTCGGTGTGTTCAATGGCGGATCGCAAACCAACTTAAAGGTGCATACTGCCACCTACTGTGTCAGAGTGTGTACTATCATGGCTTTAATGTATAATGTAATGTAATGTTGATTAAAAGAAATAGAAAATAAGAAAATAAGAATAATTTTACGTTATTTCCTATTATATATATATATATATATATATATATATATATATATATATATACAACAGTTAGTTCCGACCGAGTAATTTGATTGGACGAGAAGCACTCCATGAGTGCTGATATGCTGATATAGAGTATAACGTCACAGGGACTTGTAACAGTAAAATCACTCCGCTCACAGGTGTTATAAATATAAATACAACCGTTAATTAACCAACTGTAACACTCGCTACACTGACGCAAACTGACACTATAGCGTTACACCAAGAAGATGGATATTTTCCCCAAAATTACATTTGAATTAAATTATGAGTGGTCGTCAGGAGAGGACGAGGAATTCAAATAACGGTCCGATTTTGGTGAAGAAAAGTAAGATAGGTGAGCATCCCGGAAGTCCAAGTAGGCTATATGGGCCTTTCAACAAAAAGCCAAGAGAATGCCATTCTATGACACTAACGTTATGTGAGCACTGTATAGCCTACCAGGGTAACGTCTGAGGAAAAACACATTAATATAAATTAATTAATCAGACAAATTAATAAGTAGGCTAGATAAATACACCAAAAAAAATGGGCCGATGGAAACAGGGATTGATTACATGTAGATTAATATTGTGCATTTGATTCATCGACACAGCATGAGGAAAGTCTTAGATTAATGATTTGCATTTTTTGGTGCAATACAGTTGGCAATATAGTTTAACCAATAATTACCAGCAATTACTGTGTGTGCAGAGTTGTTAATGTTAGCAGTGATATTTAACTGGGTTTCCACCATAAAGCGCTGTTGCCTGAGCGAAACAGAGTGGAAGTAGGTTAAGCTGACTCTCCACCAGTAGATGGCAGTATGAGTACTTAAATGTATGCCTGGTTTGTTTCTTTGTGAACTGTTGGCTTATTTTCCAGGTTATTGATGCAGATGTATTTAATACTGTTCATTTAATTTGATATTTGATGTTCATGGTTTATTTACAAACTAGCTATAGACAGCATGTATTTACTTTTCATTTCAGAACCACACATAGGCCTACCTGTATGGAAGAATGAGTATGTGTTGATAGTGAGGCAGAAATACAAATGAAAAATAAACGACAAAATACAGACACATTTGGGTTGTTCTTATCGGACACGATTCAGTGGATCAGGCTTCAGTAACAGCACCACTTGTACACTATACTTTCATCATTTACTCTCAGCTCAGAGTCAAACCTTCATGTCCTTCTGTTCCAACCCTGCTGTTAGCGGCTTACATCAGAAATTTCTTAATGTAGGCTGTTTGGTCTAAAGAATGATTTACTACTGTGCTATATAGTGTGAACACTGCTTTAAGAGTTGTCTGTATCCAGCAGTATGCTCACATCTGGGCACTGCTGAGCAAATTATCTCTCTGCGGCTTCTTGGTCCTGTATACTCTGAAAATGGTTGCTGTCAAAGTCTGACACCCATGAGATTGATCCCATCTTATACCAGTCTACAGCCATTGATGCATCTGGCAGCAGACCAGTAACAGCCAGTTGAGGAATGAGTTGACAGCCTCCCTGCAGGAGCTGAGAGGACAGGTCCAGGAGTTGCAGCAGGACAGACAGGCTGGCTACAAGGAGATAACTCAATGCTATGAGAGAGGAGCTGAGACAGCAAACCATCCTCAGCCTGAAGGAGCAGCAACAAATCTCCATCACCACCAACAGCTCCCTTCACCCTGAATCACAGCCCTCCACCTCCAACCTGACTGACAGCAGGCCATCACAACAACATGCCATAGCGGCCAACCCCACCCCACCTACCACTGACTCACACAGGGAGGCCACCATCAGCCGGCCTAGCAAGACATTTGGAGAGGAAAAGACAGCCAGTGATGCTGATGTTGTGATCCTAATTGAACCAAATTAGAAATTGGTTAGTGAGAAACAGCTTTTCCCCAAACACAGTTTATAAAATCCAGTGCCCTAGGACTGTCAACATAGACAGACACAGGTAGTAAAGACCTGAGACTACAGAAGGTAACAGAGTCTGCGAAGAGAGTAGCACAGAGACCCAAACAAGCCTTCCCCTCCAGGATCATTGTCTCCACCATCATTTCATGAAGAGACTTCCATCCTGACACTTCACTCGTATTCACCAGGCTTCATCCTGCACCACATCCTGCTAATCCAGCCCAATATCACACCACAAGGAGCTCTGCTGATGCGTTGATGACACCATCCAGCACTGAAAACACTGCAGACCTGAGAGAGATCACCTGCTCAGGCTTATATGTACCAGATTTATGAGCTGTGATACTCGAATATGTTGTGAACACTATTCATATGTACCACTGTTTGACTAATCAGCCAAGTGTTAATCCCAAGCTCCATATAGACCGCCACTGTTTACAAAAAAATATTTATTTTCACTGTGTATAAAAGAAAACATCTTACCTAAACTTTAACCGCCCTCTTCCAATTAGGACGTTTGTGCCAAATTTGAATAAATTCCCTCAAAGTGTACTTGAGATATAGCATTCCAAATAATGATGATAATAAAGGATGATGATTATTTTGCATACACAATTAATGACTGTATATAAGAAAACCAGAAGTGGCATTAGACACCAACCTGATGAAGGGAAGCCCAAAGTCTTTGTTGAATAAAGCATTGTGTACCTGAGAAGAGTAGTGGAATGTGTTTTAATTGTGATGGACTTGTTGGATTTGACTTGATGGATTGAAGCTCAACATGGTTTGCACCATGCTGTAAGTGAATTAATTAAAAATTAACCATAAAAATGAACATGAACTGAGGCAGTATTCATATTAAAATTCAAATTTTATTGTATTTGGCGNCCATGCTGTAAGTGAATTAATTAAAAATTAACCATAAAAATGAACATGAACTGAGGCAGTATTCATATTAAAATTCAAATTTTATTGTATTTGGCGCTGAAACAGCTGAAAAAAAAGAACAAATACAGTTGAAAAAGTCAACATTTTCTGACAATATTGTACTTTTTATTCCACTCCAATTATTTCACAGAAACAACATTTCGCACACAAAACATGAATAATCAATTTGAGGTTTGGACTGTTGGTCAGACAAAACAGGTCTCACTTTGAGTTCTTCTTTGAGTTGCAGTCAAACTGTATGTAAATATTTTGAGAATATTTGAGAACTTAGATAAAGCATCTATGTTGTCTACCACTGCACATAAAATAACAATAAAACAATTCAAACTAATCCTGCCACTCATTCTATGATTACCTCTCATCATTCATTCATCTTTTGCTACAGTTTCTGTGGAGGGTCAGTAAATTGTGCCTTTGTATTGACTGTGTCCTATTTCCGCAGTCCTGTAAATCATTCTTTAGACCAAACAGCCTACATTAAGAAATTAAGATGCTAACAGCAGGGTTGGAACAGAAGGACATGCAGGTTTGACTCTGAGCTGAGAGTAAATGATGAAAGTATGGTGTACAAGTGGTGCTGTGACTGGCTGGTAACTGAAGCTTGATCCACTGAATCGTGTCCGATAAGAACAACCCAAATGTGTCTGTATTTTTTGTTTATTTTTCATTTTAATTTCTGCCTCACTATCAACACATACTCATTCTTCCATACAGGTAGTCCTACGTGTGGTTCTGAAATGAAAAGTAAATACATGCTGTCTATAGCTAGGTTGTAAATAAACCATAAACATCAAATATCAAATTAAATGAACAGTATTAAATACATCTGCATCAATAACCTGGAAAATAAGCCAACAGTTCACAAAGAAACAAACCAGGCATACATTTAAGTACTCATACTGCCATCTACTGGTGGAGAGTCAGCTTAACCTACTTCCACTCTGTTTCGCTCAGGCAACAGCGCATTACGGTGGAAACCCAGTTAAATATCACTGCTAACAGTAACAACTCTGCACACACAGTAATTGCTGGTAATTATTGGTTAAACTATATTGCCAACTGTATTGCACCAAAAAATGCAAATCATTAATCTAAGACTTTCCTCATGCTGCGTCGATGAATCAAATGCGCAATATTTATCTACATGTAATCAATCCCTGTTTCCATTGGTCCATTGGTTTTTTTGGTGTATTTATCTACTTATTAATTTGTCTGATGGATTAATTTATATTAATGTATTTTTCCTCAGATGTTACCCTGGTATGTGCTCGCATAACGTTATAGAATGGCTATTGTATTCTCTTGGCTTTTATTTTGAAAGGCCCATATTTACTTGGACTTCCGGGAAGCTCATCTGTCTTATTTTCTTCACGTTCTTTTCAAGAGGAAAGATGAAAACAGGCATTGGAAGAAACCAAAATCGGACCGTTATTTGAATTTGGTTTTCTCATTTTTTCGTTTTTTGATTCAGACAACAAAAACGGAAAAACAGCTGTGTTTTATCATTTGTAGTTTTTTTTATTTAAAACGAAAAAATTAAAAACCATGGCACCTTTGCTCATCCTGCTGCCCTTGCGACACGGCCCCAGCTAAGCAGGTAAAACCAGATGGATGGATGGAGTGACTGAGCAGTGGACCGTTTCAAAACTGTGAGGTGTTTTGACAAAAGGTGCTCAAGTTTCTGCTGGCTACAGTAGAACAGGTTGAACTGGAAGTTGAGATAATGGTGCCAACTAGTCTATTGTTTTATCTCTCATACCATAAGTTGCAAAACAGATTCTGGTGTCATAGAGGTTGTGGTCAATTGCCAGGTTGAATCCTGCCTTCTTACCCTGCAAAACTGTGACAAATTGATTCATTTTGTTTTCAGAAACAAGTTTACTTACAATTATATGAAAAACCCTCATTACATTGGTGCCAAATAGAAAAATAAAATAAATACGACTGTGTTCTTGCTCTATTACAATATACCAGATACATTTG